TATTATCCCTTTTTTGTGTGGAAAAATTTAATATCAATTTCAAATGTGAACATTCTTAATGATTAACACTATAACTGTGTTGATTAAACAAATGTCAGTCACCCGAAACACTGGTTGACCACAGTAAAATTTGAAATACAAAAAAGCAAGTTTCTATAAGTCTCCACGACTTCAGCTTGAAGACATCTTATTTTACCTATATAAAATATGTACCCAATGTCTCAACAAAAACTAGACTATAAAAATAATTAATATTTCACAAATTACGGTGTATTTTATCAAAAAGACATTGAGGGCATCAGTATAATATAAAAATATAATTTTAGTTTTTAGTTTCGGAAGAGAAGCTTTTCTAGAAAAGAGCTGGAGATGATGAAGAGAGAAAGAATATGTGCATCCAATTAGGTGAAACTGAAAGGAAACAAGCTCTTCACAAGTATATACTAGTATAGTTAAGTACCTTTAAGATCACAATTTCATGTTCACCTGATTTGACAGGAGAGCAGTTTAAACAAGATATATTCCAAGGACTAAGTGGAAATGAGGTTGTTTTGACTGTTTTTAACTTCATTATTAACATCTTTTCTATTCTCCTAGAAGCAGCAATGAAATCTGTGTTAAAGTATCGTTCTTTGGTAAAAAATGATCATATTGATCTATATCTCTGAGGATGCAATATAAAGTAACCATTATTTGGGAGAATTATATCTTCATATTCCATGATTAAATGGAGAAATAACCCCTAAAACATTTGGAGACACTGTTGGATAACAACTGTATTATATTCATTGTGAATGGATTATTTCCTTTCCCATTCACAGTCAATCTTTACCCTTAAATCCACTGCTCTTTGGAAGTAATTCATTGTGAATTAAGGGACAAAGATACCTAAAAATCTTGAAAAGACAAACAACAGAAATTCATTTTCTTTTCAGCATAAAAAGCAAATAATGTATTTTAAAACTTGTTTTCAAAATCTACAAAAATACTACAAATCTTAGTTTATTTTACCAACTATAAAATGTTAATCTTGGTTGTTTGAGGCCCATAACTGCAGATGTTTGCACAATCTCTCAAGAAAGGCAACAATTTTTAATATAAATTATAATGTAATCAATGTTAACATTATGTGACAAAAAGGAACATGGAAAAGAAAAAGAAATTTTTGATGCAATGTTAAAAAATATTAAAAATAGTGACATGTTTCAAAGAAGCAAACTTATAAGAGCATATGTTATAGCTTGCATATAAAATATTATTATGACATTTTTTCAGTGAGAACCAAGCACGATTCTATACAGTTTTTTAAATCCTATTGAATCAACAAATATTGTTCCAGTACGATACAAAGAGCATTATTATTTTAGCCTCAAACTGTTATGTTTATTTTTATATAATCATCTAATTACCCATACATTATAAAGATAGAAAACTACATTAACTTTTTTGTGCTGTATTACTCAATACGGTTATCTTACAATTCATTCATTTGATTTATAGTTACAATATAATCAAGTACATCTAATTCTTCATGTTTACTACCTACACAATTTGGTTAAACCAAATCCAATTTCATTAAAAGTGAAATATATTATGTAAGGATTTAAGTATTGAGAAAACATAAGCAACTTAAAAAAGTAATGAGAGTTTGTAGAAAACCCACTACGCTTTCAACAGTAAGTGACTGAGGGGATATCATTGGTTTGAAGTTTCAGAACAAGAAAAATCAAATAACTGAATTCTTAAAAATATTGACTTTGTGTTTGACTGAACCACATAAGCCAATGATTTTCAAAGCAAAGGTAATCCTCTTGTTATTAGAAATGAAGGTTACTAGACAAATAATTCAAAATAATATAACAGAAGAAAAAAAAAATTTCATAATTTATTTGCAAATGCACACAAATCAGCAAAAAGGTATTTCACTTTATTATACAACTGGCATAGCATATTCATGTTCCAAAACCAACAGTTATTTGCAACCTTAAAACATTGGGACACTTAGTAAGCTGCTCTCAATTCTACTAAAATCTTCAACTTTCATCTACATAAATGATATTTATAATTGTCACCATTTCCGTCACCTTGATGGATGCAATTACGATCAGAGAATACATTCCACAATTATAAAGATATCCAAATTGTGACCATGTGACTGAGTAACAATACATTTTAATAATTAAATTTAAGAGCAGCTGGGCGTACACCAGAGGGCCCAGGTTCAAATACTGGTAAGGGCAATCAATTCTTTGAACAAATTTAATTATATAAATGATATCCCACAACTTATTATAGAACCGTATCAGAAGTGGTGATAATGAAAACAATTTTATGGCAGATCTCACAAGCAACTCATTAAAAATTAAGTGGTATTCAAATAAGTGAAATGATGCATAATTCAAAGATAGAGAGATGAAAGAGAGAGAGAGAGAGAGAGAGAGAGATGAAAGAGAGAGAGAGAGAG